CATCCCCCCCGCTAAGTGTTAAGGACAGCTGCTAAGCAGCCGAAGAAGCAAACCACTCAGCACAGTCCGTGCTTTGTAGTAGCAGAACCGCCGCCATACCGTCGTCGAAGGGCCCCACCGAAGATCAGCAGCAGCAACAGCGAGGAGGAGAGGGCAAAGATAAGTAGATAATAGACGTCTAAAATTGCATTTCTTTTTGTTGTTTTGTCCCACCCAAATCCGAACGTCTTTGGGGGAAGTACCCTTGCTCGAAGCCGCCCCGCCGGGGTAAAATCGGGCCAGCTATAGGCTGGCAAGTAAGCCGCAGCTAACAAAATGAAATGAGCAAAGCGTTTACATTGCGAAAATTGTCAGTTGGGTGAACTGTCAAAACCATAGGATTTTTTGATCTAGATAAAAATAATTTGTCCAGAATAGATCATCTGTCTTAACTCCTATGGTAAAATCCAATAAGCAAACGTCAGACTGTGTGAGATACATGGTGGTATGTGTACTATCCTTTCACTGCAACGAAAATTCCCATAAGAAACTGTCAATTTTTGTAAGAAGAGACGATGTTTTGACGGTGCCATCATCGCCAATTATACGGAACACATCTTTGGGAAAAACGGGTTCAACGGCAACTGGGTAGCGGTTCTTGTAGATCATAACAATCAAAAAACTACATTTGGAGACTCTCTGAAGAAAAGCTCTCTACGGAGTTCCACGAGCCTACGAACGGTTCTTCTGATGGAAGCTCAGTCAATTCCAGCACCTCGCATGACCCGGAAAACTTTATTTGAAGACTCCTTCCGCCAACTCAAGCTCCTACCAGCTTACGAACAACGGCGCAGGCTGTACATCATCTTCCTAGGGGAAGAAGGTCTGGATTACGGTGGCGTTTCTCGAGAATGGTTCGCATGAGGTGCTCAATCCAATGTACTGTCTGTTAGAGTATGCCAACAAAAACAGATACAGTCTACACGGTAAGAAAAAAGTACCCAACGGAAAGTTCACTTTTACCTACTTTTGACTAGTTTGTCTCCTTTTCTCCTTCTAATGTTGTCAAAAACAGAGGAGCAAAACCACCCAACAGGGGTAGTAAAGTGTGGGAACCCAACTTTGAGTATAATCATATTTACCTACTTTTGGGTACAACTAACTTACTTTTGGTTGAAAAGCCAGTGGAAAATTCCATACGAATTGCACACAAGTAAATGAAATTTACTTTCACCCGCTTTACCTACTTTTGGGTTCCTGCACTATAGTGCCGAGATGAGTGAAAAGGTACTTTTTTCTAACCGTGTACAAATCAATCCTGCCAGCTACCTTAATCCAGATCATTTGCATTATTTTAAATTTGAACACTAGCTGATATTCTAGCTCAAATAAATAAACCAATCGTTCTGAATATCTTCCAATTTGACAGGTTGGATTGGTTTGTTTACTCATTAAAGAGGTTCAGAACAATAAAAAAACTGATCATACTGTCAAAGGTGAATGATAAAATCAGATCATGGATTGGTCTATTATAAACAAAACATGATGTAAACATTCTTGGAAGTGGTTCCAGAAATGATGAAAAATTATCTTTTATCGTGCGTATTGGCGTTTGTCACAGTGTGTTTTTGTGGGTTTTAACACAAGGTGGCAGAGTGATTTACCCCCTGTACACAGCCCACCATGTATCTCACAAAGTGTAACGCTTGCTTATTGGATTTTACCATAGGAAACCAGAGTCCCCGTCAACGCCAATGCATTACGATCGCAGAGGGATCTGTCATTTTCCTCGTCATTTTCAGCGTTGTGGAAATCATGGTTGACAGTAAACATTGACGTTTTGACAGCCCGTTTCACACAGAAACACCCTGGAACACCCAAAAACACACAAGAAACACTATCAGCACAGTCACAAGGTGGCAGAGTGACTTCCCTAATAAAAATTGTATGGTTAATTTGCTTAACGACGTGTTCTGGGTATCATCCAAACCATTTGTGGAATAGTTCAATGATTTGGGTTATCGTTCGTTTATGGTTATTTTTATTAGGGTTACCCCCTGCGGAAAACAATTAATTTTCCTTAAGATTTTGACTCCTTTGCACCTATAGTTGCATTAGTGTTCGTATAATAGTGGAATCCATAAGAAACCAATGCATTCCTCTTATGTACACACAAAAAATATTATTGGTTCTTTTAGGAAGAAAGTAGCTAACTTTCAAAACGAAAGTCAGCCAACTGTCAAAACAAAAGTTAAGCATATTATTAATTTTAAAAGCTCGCGATTTGAAACGAATTGTAAAACTGTCAAAAGTTTTGCTTCAAAAGAAGGCTATTTCACCGCAATCAGTGTAAGTTTTCCTCTCAAATACGAATTATTTTTAATTTAATTGCTTTTATGTGAAAGGAAAATAACCAATATTTATATTAATTTATGTATTTTGTTAATATTCATATTTTTATTTTTCATTCAGGATGGCTTTGGTGAAGGTTTCCTCCCAGACGCGGGGCTCCAACATGCAGCGGACTTGGTCGAACGAAAGTGCATCTTGTTTGCACTGCTGGCCGACGATAAGCAGCGGTGGCCGACCTGGTGTGATTAAATCTTACCAGAATCCTGTAGAAAAGAACGGAATCTGTAATCCCTCCAGCGCGATACATTGCAAACGCTATTGATAGCCACTGAAAGCATCTCTGCAGTGTGCTCTAACGTCCCAATATGCAGGCAGGCTCTCTGGAAAATGATCATTTTGTTTTTCAAAATCATCCTCGAAATAGACAGTAGTTGCAATCTTACCTTCTGCGAAAACTTTACTTTTTCTCATTGCCTTCGGTACCGGAATCGGTTCCCCCCGTCGTTGAATTTTGGAACTGCACGATTTACGATTGATTCTCTGCGGTTTGATTCTAGTGTCTCATACTATATGCCTATTGGACTTTTGGACCGTGGCAATGAGCTTTTCAATAGGAGATTTTGACAGTTGTACAATCTTTGTTTTAAAAGTATGAACTTTTAAAATTACATGTCGATAGTGAAAGAAATACTTTCAAAACATAGAAAAACAATTAATTTTGAAAATATTCATAGTTAAAACTACGAAATTCGAGAAATTTTTGTTTTTTTTGTGTGTGTAGGAACCAACATTATCAACTACCACAACTACTGGAACAGTGTTTTTATTAATGGAGGATGAGTTTTCGAAAAACTTATACTATTTAATCTCTTGTCTCTCTTCAATTGTCAAATTTAGTCAGAATTATATGCATACCCTAATAAAAAATAACCATAAACGAACGATAACCCAAATCATTGAACTATTCCACAAATGGTTTGAATGATACCCAGAACACGTCGTTAAGCAAATTAACCATACAATTTTTATTAGGGTATCGCTTATTTATTTATTAATAAATAAATTGTCTTAGTACCTCCACTATTGTCTCAACCACTCTAACCAAGATACAAGATGGAATTGAATGAAATTTTTGTAAAAAACTTCAATAATTCATGGCTAATACAAAACAATAATTCAGGTTCTTTTCGTTGAAACATATCGTAAAAATGTTTTGTTTAATTTTAATGGTATTTTGGTCAGTATACAAACGATATTTTGTTAAAATCAAACGATAAAATTAATTAATTTAAACCACTTTTGATTTTGTTTGTATGAAACTTTGTCAAAATCAAAAGTTTTCTCTACTTTATTAAAAAAATCAAACATTATAACTTGTTTATTATAACAAAATAGTTGTTTTTGATGCAACAAAATTTGACATTTAAAATCTGCAATATTCGGGTTTGATGATCAAATTAATATTTTTCTATTTTAAATATGGTTCATTTTTTCTGTGTAATTGTCAAAAAGTGAGATTATATAATCATTCTGTGCAACGATCTATGAATCTAAACCGTTTCCTGTTAGTAAGGAATTCTCGATGAACATTTCAAATGGTCCTATCTGCTTTGATCGATTCTCTTCATCGACTTTCTCTTTTCATAACCACTGCTATGCAAACAGATTTCGCGTTAATTCTACCACATAGTTTGATAAAGGAGGTTCTTATCTAGCGTCCAAAACGTCAAATACAACAGGGAAAGGTTTTGCAGCTAAGTTATTGACGAAAGAGAAAGTCGATGAAGAGAATCGATCAAAGCAGATAGGACCATTTGAAATGTTCATCGAGAATTCTATTAGAACCACCCAATCCTCCCGTGAGCAAGCTTCAACCCACCAACTACCGAAATGGTTTTTCCACCCACCGTCAATCGAAAGCTCTCTCCTCTCCTACTTCTCTCATGCTCACGTTTATCAGCAAACAGCAAGTAGCAAGTATGACACGGCCGTTGAATCTAACTCATTATATGAGTTAGTTAGGATGCACTATTATTTGAGTTCCGTTCTCCCAAATTCGCTAAAACGTAGCACTAAAAAAATACCATAAACGAACGATAACCCAAATAATAGAACTGAATGATGATACCCCGAACACGTCGTTAAGCAAAATAACCATAACAATTTTATTAGGGAGGTCACTCTTAGACTGAGTAAAATTAAGAGCGGTAGTATACTCCTAGGCGGTCTAAAATTTCCTCATATTCGAGCAGATTTTTGAGGAAAAGCGAGGAAGATTTTGTTCAGTCTATGAGTGACCCACGCTGTTGCAATTTTGACCAAACCACTCAATGCTGAGTCGATCCCATCGACCGTGCACACGGTTCAGTGGGTGGCTTGCTATATGAAACGCAGCCGGTGCGCTTTTCTTCTCCCCACAAACAACACCGCAAAATCCTCTCTGTTTACAAGCAGAGCTGCTGTTTGCGGGAAAACATAAACAAACCGAATCGTTTGCTCTTCCACGCTCGTGGCTTTCACTTCGTGCGTCGTCGTATCATCGTATCGCATTCGGCTCCAATGTGTTGTTGATCTGCTTCTGCTCTGGTTGGTGGGGTGGCTTGATGGAAGGAAGACTGATCAGCTGCTTGATTTCAGTTCACAGTGGACGTTCGTGTTGATCGGTTCGGTTAGCTCTAATAAGTACGTTTTGGAAGCCAGCTCGGGGTATTCGAAGATAGAAGATTTTTTTATTTCGGTTGAAAGAGCATTGCGAGTAGGTGTTCTGGGAAAAATTAGCACCGGTGCGTGTCTATTTTGATTGATTGGTGGAAAGTAGATCGAGTAGCGTGTCGTGTGTGTGCACACACTGGAAGAAGCCATTCAGGTGGATGAAAATTTGCGTTTTCTGCCCCATTGCGGCGAAAGTGGACGAAGAGAAGTTCTGGTGTGCCTCGAAGATAAACAAAACAGATTTTCAAAATCCGAAGGAAGAAAATTTTTGCAACTAGTGGATGAAAAACGAATGCATTAATTAGCATCAAGAGTGCAGCAACGTTGCCGTTGGTGAAGTGATTCGAGTGCAATTATCAAAGGTGATTATTCGAGGTTCTGTTTTGCATCGGATTTGTTTTGGGGTTTTTTTTTCTTCGTTTCCATGTGGGAGCTGCAAATGGATTTTGCTTCGATTGGTGGTGAAAACCGTTTTTCCTAGCGGAAATTTGGCGCATACAGTTTTGAGAGAGCAATCAGAGAAGATAGTTTGTTGGCAAGTATTTTGACTTTGATAAGGTTATTCGAGAAGGGGCAGGATTGACGTATTTGAACAGTGCAACGATTGAATTTTGGGAAGCCAAACATTGTTCAAAATAATGCTTGTGCAAACGTGGGAAAACGCCTCAATGATGATGACGAATATGAAACTGGATGTATTCTAGACCGTTTTAGAAATTCTACTCAGCTTAGGTGTTTTGAAGGTTAGTTAGAGGCGTTTTGAAAGTTTTCAGAACGTTTGGTCATTTTGGAATTACTAATGCCTTTTTATTTAGCGTTTTTGGGCAAGTGTTTGATTGTAATTCAAGCGTTTTGATGACTGTTTTAGTGTTTCAAGTCAATTTTTTGGCACGTTTTAAGGCCGTTTTTGAACTAATTCAGCACATATGATTTAATGCGATTTCAAAGTTTTTTGTTTTGCTAGTTTGGAGGATTAATTAAGCTGCTGTTTCGACGGCTTAGCCTTCGAATTGCTCAAATTTTTTTAAATGCTGCATGCTTTTTTTCAAAAGGCCTCCAATTCAATATGATTCAATTATTTTTTATCTGGATCAATAGCTTGTGAGCAGTTTTTGTAAAAAAAATGACTTAATTTTTTCAATTTTTGCACGAACTATTGCACTAATTTTAACCAAACTTGGTTAAAACTAGAACTCATGACAAAATTCTGACCCAAATTTCATAAAAATCTGGTGAGTCTAAATGTTATTACGATGGAATTTTCTTTTCGAAGCAATTTTTCAATGACGTATTTTATACTGAAAATCAAAGAACATATTTTTTTAAACATAACTTCACAGCTACGGAATCGAAAGAAAAAAGTTTCGCTTAGAAAACGAAGCTCTTTCAGATGAATTATGATAAATTTTTCAAAATCAAAAATCCCAATTAACGTCCGCGAGGGAGGTTATCTAGATTTATAAAATAGGATCTTTACAGAAGTTCAGAAAAAATCTGAAAACATAACTTATTTCAGGGCACTTCTTAGTAGTACCATAGAGGTAACTCTAATACTAGTAGGTCCCGAAGAAACGTGCTCAGCTCTGGTACTATCTTCGATCCCAAACTAATCAATGCACCCCTCTAAGCATAGGAAAATCCACGAGCCCCTCATTTTATCTGTCAAACTGTCATAGCGAATCAAAACAAACATAGTGTAGTACTAGTATTTCGACTGGAATGGGCTACGTTAATTGATTAGCTTGGGACCAATAGGATAGTCAGGTAGGCCAATTTAAAATCGTTAGTTTCCACCGGTTGGTAGTACGGAGAACTTCGTAAAAGTTCAGGGCACTTCTAAGAACTTCCGAAAACTGCGCAGAACTGCGTTCAGGAAACTTTCTGAAAGTACAGTAAATATAGTAGAAATTCAGTGAAGTTTGTCAAATATTGTTTAGAAGTTTAGTGAAGTTTAATGAACTTTGAATAAAGTTAATGGAATTTCGTACAAGTTCAGGAAGCATCGTAGAACTTTGAGAAAAAAATAACGAGGAATGACGTAAAAACACCGACAAACAGACGTAACACTTGCATGTTGCAACGGTCAATTTAAATTTTACTTAGTTGGTAGTACTGCCACCTGTAGCTTGCATAGTCAATTTCCACGCGTTTGTCTGTGGTAAAAATGCAGCTAACTTCGTGGAAGTGCGGCAAACTTTGTACGACTTAAGCAAATTAAAGCATGGCCCACTTAGTAATGGAACAACATAATTTGGGTCTTTTCGGATTTGAATCAACGGATTTGAAAACAGTTTTCACTCTAGTGCATACTATTCCTTATATTCTAAGAAAAAAAATTCGAAACAAATTATTCGTCGTGGTTTTGAAGGAATTTTCAAAATTTTCCTTCAGTCCGCATCGTGCTTCTTGCCGTGCGGATTTATTTGCTTTTTGCTTAAGGAAGTGTTACTATTACCTAAAGCTACAACAAATTTAAACAGCACTTTTCAGTGCTCAAGCTGTAAAAATTTTCTACCTTGTTCAACTCTTATTCCTCAAGCGGCGCCGGTGGTGTAGTGGTAAGCGTGATTACCTCTCACCCCAGCAGGCCTGGGTTCAATCCCAGTCGGCGCCGCCGGGATGTTCTGAGGCATAACATCTCTGATCACGCCTTCCTTCGGAAGGGAAGTAAAGCCGTTGGTCCCCGGTTCATGAGTTGATGGGTCGATAGGTAGGGTCCAGGTGTGGGAGCTGCCTTCCTGGCGTCGGTAGCATTGGTGCTCAGCACGGAAAACAAGATCGACGGATCTTCGATCCTTGTTTGGACCCTACCCGAGGTAATCCTTCTTGGATATCGATTTGGAAAATTCCTCTTCGATCCTTCAGATTCTTATAGTAATCTGCTTGGAAGTCGATTTGGATGAAAATTTAGTACCGCCATGGCGCCTAAACGAAAAAGAAAGGGGCAAACTCTTGACCCCCCTTCTGATGAAATTAATTTGAGTAATCAATTTGATTTGCTCACGGATGATGAGAATGATCCATCATCCAAGAAAAATTATAGTAAACTTTCCCGGCTTAATGCCAAGAAGGAAAAGATTCCCCCTATTGTGATAACCACTTCCGATTTCCATGCTCTTCGCATGGAACTTTTGACTTTCGTGAAAGTTAAGTTTTCACTACAAATTGGACGTCGGGGTGAATGCCGTGTATTGGCTGAAACCTTGGACGGATTTAAATGTCTTCTCAAGTATCTTACTGAGAAGAAGCACAATTTTTTTACTTACGACACCAAAACTGAACGTGTGTTCAAGGTTGTCATGAAAGGACTGCCCAGTGGTGAATCCCTGGATCAGATCAAAGATGAACTGGCAAAATTACTTGGAGTTGTGCCACTCCAAGTAATCAAAATGAAAATGAAATCCCGTCCTGGCGATTCGCACAACGTGATTTCTAATGATTTTTATTTAGTTCACTTCAAGTCTAGTGAACTAAACAACCTTAAGGCCTTAGAAAAGGCTAGCCTTATGCTCCATGTCCGAGTGAAGTGGGAACACTTCAGGAAGATTGGAGGAAATTTCCAAAACCTCACTCAGTGCCGTAAGTGCCAGGGATGGGGTCACGGAACTAAAAATTGCTACATGCCAGCTAAATGCATGAATTGTGGTGATTCCTCTCACGAAAAGGACGACTGTCCTGTGAAGGAAGATCCTAAGAAATTTAAATGTTCAAATTGTGGTGAAAACCACAAATCCAATTTTTGGGAATGTAAGACTCGCAAAGCGATCCTACAATCTCGTTCTAACCGTCAGGTAGGAAACGCTCCACGTTTCCGACCAGGTACAAATTCCTCTGCTGTTAACAACGGTCAGCGAGGAACAAATTCTACTTTCGTACCCGTAGGTACAAATATCACCCCTGCTTCAAATTCTTCATCTGTACCTACTCCCTTCGCTGCTAACAATGTTCAGTGAGTTAATGGAGCTACCTATGCTGCTATTGCAGCGGGTAGAAATCAAAATAATAACCAACGTTCTAACGGAAATTTTGACAATTTTGACTTAGGAAGCATTACTGCCCCTAAAATGGATTTTTTTTTACAGAATTCATTAATTGACATGATTTCTGATATGCTTAAATCTAACTCCATGTTTGATGCTATTCAAACTGGAGTAAAATTTGCTAATAATATTGTCATGACTTTAAAATTCAGTAATGGATTTTAAAGCTTTAAATATTTTAAATTGGAATGCTCGATCTCTTAAAGATAATGAAGACGAGCTATTTAACTTTTTGAGAGTTCATAACGTGCATATTGCCGTTATAACTGAAACGTTCCTTAAACCTGGCCATAAGGTTAAGAAGGACTCAAATTATTTAATTTATAGAAATGATCGTCTTGATGGACCCTGTGGTGGCGTTGTCATCATTGTTCATAAACGAATCAAACATAAAATTCTTTCTTCATTTGAAACCAAAGTTTTTGAAACTTTGGGAGTTTCTGTTGAAACAAAATTTGGACAACTTACGTTTATAGCTGCCTATTTGCCATTCCAATGCGTAGGCCAGCAAAAGAATTTTCTCAAGGGTGACCTCCTGAAACTTACCGTCATAGGTCTAAATTCTTCATTATTGGTGATTTTAATGCAAAACACCGTTCATGGAATAATGCTCAAAGCAATTGCAATGGTAATATTCTGTTTGATGATTATTCTGCAGATTATTACACTATTCAATATCCGAACAGCCCAACATGCTTTTCTTCAGCAAGAAATCCCTCCACTATTGATTTTGTCTTAACTGATTCATGTCAACTTTGTAGCCAATTGGTTACCCATGCTGACTTTGGTTCTGATCACCTTCCAGTAGCTTTTGAAATATCTCAAGAAATAGTTTCTAATCACAACAGCTCTACTTTCAATTACCATAGAGCTGATTGGGAGCAATATCAATCATTTATGGAATATAACTTCGATCCAAACATTCCTTTGCAAACCAAAGATGAAATTAATTATGCTCTTGAATCTCTGACTACTTCTATAGTTGAGGCAAGAGCTGCCTCAGTACCAAAATGCGAGGTTAAATTCGATTCAATTATAATAGACGACGATCGTCAGCTATTGATCCGTCTTAAAATGTCCGTAGGAGACAATATCAAAGAACACGCGATCCTGCCATGAAGGTTATCTGGCGGGATTTGCAAAAACAAATTAAAAAGCGATTCTCTGCCCTGAGGAACAAAACTTTTGAAAATAATATTTCTAAATTAGACCCGAGTTCCAAACCCTTTTGAAAACTCACAAAAATTTAAAAAAAAAACCTCAAAAGCCTATTCCAGCGCTTTTAAAGAAGGTGGTAAAAGTTTGATCACAAATTTGGAAAA